TTGTTTTAGAAACATCCGTATTCTGCTTGCTTCCAATTCCTCACATGCATACACCACTCGAACCTAAAGTTCGGAAAGGTTTAAGCGAATTACAAGGACATTCGCTGGCTTCATTGCACCAGATGTGCGCTTTGTTTGGTGTTACATTTGAAGTGTGCGGTCTTGCCCGTCGGTATTTTCCTTACAAATGCTCTACGAAGTCATCATTTATGTGGTTTGGAATGCAGTGGACTTGTATATTTAAAATATGAACCTCACTAACAGAAGGCTGCTTTCAATTTCAAATGCTGACGTGCGCTTTGTTTGTGAAGACTGCTCGCGCAACCACCGTGTAAGTGGTTTAATGCACTTGCGTCTCAAAATGATTTTACGACGCAAAATTAATGCAAACACAGCCAGTTATGTTTTAAGGGATTAAACGGATGGGACAACCCACATTACTAATATTTCAAAAGAGATCCGTGCGTGAATGCAGCTTAATAAATCTCCCACTGTCTGATGTTATAGTAAAAAACAACAGTAAAGATGAAAAAAAATCACTCACAGTTCTTGAATGGAAAACGTTCAGATAATCTTAAATACTGAAAGCACTCTTTGTTTGTAATATGTTTCTATGCTTCTCTTTATTATTTGCTACTTGCTTGTATGTTTTGAAGTTAAGTTTTCAATTTGTAATTATTTTAAAAAGTACTTAATTACTTATGTAAGGATATGTAAATGTAAGGATTTTAAGATTCTCAAGTCAGTAAATGAATTAATTAATAAGGGGGAAAAAAGTACATCAAGAATCGTTCTGAAATCGGATCGTGACTCCTAGAATCGTAATCGGATCGGATCGTGAGGTGACTAATGATTCCCACCCCTAATTAAAATGTAGTCCTCCTCTCAAACTTCTCTCTGTGTTACAGGTCCATGTGCATGACAGCCAGGTACGAGCGCTATGAGGCTAACCATGTTCTCTTCTAGTAAGTACATCTCTGCATGTTTGTAGTGTTGATAGCGCATACTGATAGATAGCAGTTGAATCCAGGTTTATCACCTTTACCTAAAACTGAAACCATTTTCATTGCTTTGAAATTAATAAAAATGAACTGAAATGAGAAAAAAAAAATCAACTAGTTGTCGAGGCAACATTTATCATTTTTTTGTTTATTTTGAAGTACTAAAATAACTCAAAACTTTTAAAAAAGTAGACATATAAAAAAAAAAAAAAAAAAAAATTTCTACAATTTTAACTAAAATGAAAGTGAAAACAGAAAAAAAATTTTTTTTCAAAATATTAACAAAACTATAAAGGCCAGGACACGCCAAGCCGATGGTCGGTCAATGTCAGGCCAATAATAAATCATCTGTCATGCTATTTTTTTTGGTGTTTTCCACATGTTGGCTATCATTGGGCTCACAATGACAGCAGTTTACCCAATTCAGCATGTTGAACTGGCATTGGGGCCATCGGTGAGAGTGAGAACTCTGATTGAAGTGAACTAGTCAGTGCGGGAGAACTAAAGCGAAAGTGATGAAAGAGAGCAAGTAAATCAAGTCAGCACCGACAGAAATCAGACTGAAGGCTGTTCTAATGTTAATTTTCTTACCCGAGCATTCCAATGCACCAATATTTTCATAACACGAGTCGCTTAAAATAATGAAAGCTATCAACATAACTGATATTCAAAATGGTAAGCAAGTCATGCTTTGTTTATGTTTCGTTTATCTGCGTATATCACGTATATCCTTTTTTTCGGTTTCTCATTTTAAATGACGAATATAGACTATTGATTGCTGCTGATATAGACTGTTAATTCCTCCGCCAGCAAACACCGTCGGCTTTCATCGGCTCTAGTTCTTTGAAGTCGGCTTGGTGTGTCGTAGCCTTAATGGTGTTTACATGCACCCTCTTAATGTGATGATAATGAGTTTTTGGCAATATTGCGATTCAACTTTACCTCATGTAAACGCAATACTTTGATCTAAATAAAGGGATGCACCGAATGTTCGGCAGCCGAAATTGCTCGGTCAAAAATAGCAAAAACCGGTATTTCGGTGTTCGGCCGAATAAGCAAAAAGACCGAATAAATTGTACCGAACAATGACGTGATGCAATCAAAAAGAGGCGTGCGCTAATACAGCAAACATGTCGGCAGTGTGAAAGCATTTAAAACTGTCCGAGAAAGACACAAAAATCATTACAAGCTTCGACAGCGAGAGACCGTTTAGCACTGCATCACATGTCTTCCATGAGAAGAGGAAGAGGTGATTGTTTGATGATTAAAATCGCCAAATGGCCTTAAACAATTAAATAAACAGCAGAACGAATTGCATGTATTCTGCTGCACGAGCTCGCGGCGCTGTCTCGTTAGCCAGGGTTCAAAATCCAAAGCGCGAGGGAAATCTGCGCTGAAACTGTTACTCGTCAGCTGCTCGGTAACATTTTAATGATTTTTTTACAAGGCCTGTCACAATGTGATACGTGCGACAAACATTTTCCCAAATTCGTAATGAGAATAATTGATTAATCTGCTGTTGTCAACAAAATAAAAGCTCCATCAACATTCATAAATGTTAGTGTTGTATTTTTTACTGTTGTTCTGTAAAATCAAATCTAAAGTGAGACAATAATAATGATAATAATAATTACAACAGATCTATTAATACATTTATTATAACATTCACAGATAGTGTTCAAATTGGGATCTGTAATATTTTCTAATGTTTTAAAAGAAGTCTCTTCTGCTCAGCTAGGCTGCATTTATTTGTACAGTAAAAAAATTTAATAAAATACATGCCTGATTCAAGAAGGGGGTCTCAAAAATGGCCAAAAAATATTTTTACTAACTTATTTTTTTTACTAAATAAGTATTTTTAAATTGTTGTTTTGTAATTTATTTTTTTCTTTGAAAAGTGAGACAAAACAGTAAAAAGCACATTTTAGCTATTTAATTTATGCATAGGTGAAAAAAAATTGGCAAAATACATTGGGGGGAAAACGCGAAAAATTTGTTATTCGGCCTTCGGTCCAGTGTTTCATTTCAGTGCATCCCTACTAAATAATGCGATGAAGCTCATAATCTCAGCAAGCATAATCGTATTAACATAGGATGCGTATGCCGATTTTAATCAAAATATACAGGCATGTAAACACCTTAATCGCATTATTGCTGCTCTGACCAAAGTGCGCATGTGTTCGGACGTACATTAATGACGTGACATGCACCTGCAGTAATACGCAGATTAGAAACGATGGCGGGGAAGAAAGCATCACATTTCTATGGCGCCAAATGCACCGAATACAACCATACAAACGTGTTTTGCATTATTTCATTTCATTTGTTTACTTATAAAGGTCAAATAAACACAACAAGAGTTGAGTAAGGTAAAAGAAAAAGAAAAATACTAAATATAATACACTAAAACATAAGTTAAAATGAGACCAAGAATTATAATGAATTAAATGCAAGAATAAAAAGATGAGACTGTAGCTTAGATTTAAAATCATATACAGAAGATGCGGATCTCACAGATAAGGGAAGACCAATTACATCTTGATCTTGGATATGACAGAGTAATACTGTCTGAGGATCGCAAACATCTGGCAGACCTATTTAGAAGTAAATCAATTAAAACAGCAGCCAGTTTACACACCTACTCTTTCTGAGTCCATCATTTGTGCTGTGCTGTGCTGTGCAGTGGTGTATGTGAATAATAGCGGTAAAAAAATAACCACAATTCTTAGTGGATAATAAGAAAAATTGCATGTAAACGGGAGTGAAGAGATTTGCTCTTGACATGTAAACATCATAATTATGATCATGATTATTGGAAATTATTAGTGCGCATGTAAACGTAGTCTATGGTACTAAAATAGACCGCAGCAGACGTCCTGATGTGTGACTGGGCTCATGTGGAGGGTTTTGATGGCCTGTGTTTGTGTTCCAGTGCTGACAGCATCTCCACGTGCTGGTTCGTCCTGCTCTCGGGCTCAGTGCTGGTCAAGGAGCACATGTATCTGGCGCGATGCTGGTATGTACCTCACTTCACTCTTCCACACGTGTGTGAGCTGACAGATGACTGCATGGTGAAGTCATGGTGTCGTAGGTGTTATATGTGTCGGCCTCAAACAGCAGGCGTTTCACTTCCTCAACGTGCCTTTCGCTTCTCTTTACTCATTCCAGCACGAGATTTCCTGACGGTTTAGAAAGTCATGTTAACTAGTACTAAATAAAACAAGGTTTTAGTTCAGACATTTCATGTTTTTATATTTCAAGAAAAATTGGAGTAGAAAAATAAATGTTTTTTTTTGGTCACAATTTTGTGTGTTTTTGGTCACACTTTATTTTAAGGTCCAATTGTTGTTATTAACAAACCATTAACTACGACTTTTGCCTCAGTAAACTCCTTATTTGCTGTTTATTAAGACAGAAATGTACTACTGTTGTAACACAACTGCTCTGTAAAATAAAAAAAACAAATGTTTTATGATAAGTAAATGAATGATTTTGCTCTACAAATTAATTTACGTCAATAAAATTACAATATTTATGTCTTAATTTCGTTGAGAGAGTTAAACCCTCAAGCTTTTATTTTAGCAGGCAGCTGCAGGAAGACATTTAATTTCAATTATAAATGCTTCTCATTACAAATCTGTGTAAAATGCATGAAAGCATAAAATGCTGTAATCATCTGTCCACAAAAATAATGGAAATTATATGAATGTGAAAAAGTATAGCTAGCTCAAGCTGCGTTTTCAAATGCAAATTAAACTCACAGCACATGCAGTGAACACAGTCTATACACTTGTAGACTATATACTTATTTCATTAAGATACTATCTGTTGTCTGAGAGAAGAGAGAGTGAGAAAGTACAGCTGGAGTCAGTGTGCTGCACAAAATGAATATTGAAACAGTTTTAAATATTCAGAATTAAATGTCCGGTATGTATCAAAATCTATGCTTTTGACATTACTTCTATGAATTCCACAAGTAGACTTTGTGAGAAGGGATTTGTGTTTGTTTGATTTGTTTTTCACATATATGAAGCCTCATGGCTGGAGTATTTGTGTTCATTGTGGGTGTGTTTTGTCCTGAAACATAAAGGTAAGTGTGTGTGTGCCCTGTGTGTTTGCTGACCTCTGCAGGGGTCAGGGGCAATGAGGAATGCGGAACTCATGTCGCTAGAGTTTTCCAACTGTGTGTGTCATGAACGCATCCAGACAGGAAGCGGCCCTCACCCCTCACTTCTGTGACCAGACCCCGTACACACACACACACGCGCTCACACTCACACACACACACACACACACACACACACACACACACACACACACACACACACACACTCACACTCACACTCACACACATGCGCACGCACACACACAGACACACATGCATGCACGCACCCGCACACACGCACGCACTCACCCACCCACACGCACACAGAGACCACAGCACAGAACCTGAAAGTTTGCTCATTGATGAGCCGTTTCCCTTCAGGATTTCAGAATTCATGCTTCTTAAGTTTCAGAGCATGAAAATCAGGATTTCTCAGAAATAAGAAGTTGTTCTGCCGGACAGAAGAATCTGAGTGGGAATGTTTCGGATGCTTTGAGCCGGTTTGACTGCATTACTTTCGCTCTTTGGTTGAAGCCGTTGGTCCTTGCGTCATGGATAAGTGACTCTCATCTGAGGACGCTGGGCTCCTGTAGCAGCACCTGATTCATTCTTAAAAGACCGGTGGAGGTGTGAGTGAGCTGTACGTCTCACAGTCTGTGTCATCATGTCGTTGTCTAGTCTCACTGGTTTTTCTGTGACTTCTGAACTCAGATCTGTGTGTTGTGTGACGAGGCCGTGCTCACGTGTCGTGTAGCTTTAACTGCAGTCACTGGCTGCTGGTGGTTTGTGGGTTCAGTGTCAGAGCTCTGTGTTAGTGTCAGGAAGAGAAAGTTCAGCTCAGACGCTTACTTCTGCTGATGTTGTGCATGTTCAGCTCTCAGACGTCTTTATATCACTCGTGTTGATGTGTTCATGTCTTATTTTATATATGAAATGATGATCCGACAGAACATGATTTTTAAAATTTGAAATGTGAAATTTGACATTTTTTAAATTTGTGCCACAGTTATTAAGGTGCTGTGGGTGTTTTCTTCCTGTCTGGTGTGAGATGAATCCCTCCTGAAATATGTATATTACTTTTGTACAGTAAAATGTATTTCTCAAAGTAATAATTATTAAATATAAAACAATATTTTAAGAATATTACAACATTTTTTGTTAATATTGTAATTTTAAAAAAAGTTACCTCCTTTTTAATATTTAAATTTTTATTGTTATATGGCTTTATTTGATTACCACAGATTACCATATTAATAAATTAATATTGAATCATAAATCCAGAAAAAAAACTTCATAGGAACATATTATTGTAAAAATTTTTATCAATTATTTAAGTTGTACTAGTTCAATTTATTAGACTTGTTTTTTGCAGTTAACATTTAATTAAACCATTTAAACATAATCTACAAAAACTCAGAATTGGGGAACAATAAAATGGAATTGGGGGAAAAACTGAACACAATTCATAGGGTCCTAAAATGTAATATTTTTTTACTTTTAATAAACTGTTGTTAAAATTCACGTTTTCAATTAATTCCTAAAATTTAATTGGTAGCACTTTAGTTTAGGGACAAGATCTCACATTTACTAGTTTTTTATTAGCATGCATATTACTAGCATATTGGCTGTTTATTAGTACTAATAAAGCACATCTTAATGTCTTATTCTGCATGAGCATATTTAGATCCCTTAAACCACCCCATACCTAAACTTAACAACTACCTTACTCACTATTAATAAGCAGCAAACTAGGAGTTTATTGAGGCATATGTCATAGTTAGTAGTTAGTTAATTGTGAGAACTGGACCTTAAAATAAAGTGTGACTGATTTCATAAGTCCCTAGTAAAGTAGCAGCACACTCTCCTCAACAAAACACATGACCTGAGGAATCATTCATGTCTGGAGCTCAAACGCACATGCATACTTGCATCACAACGAACACCAGTACTAGTGAAGGCTGAGCTAGCAAACAGCGGTAATGCGAGATATGGAGGTTCAGGAGAGTTTGCATGAGACCACGCTGGCACTGAAGCTGCAGTACTTGTGCTTGTCCACAGAGGGCAGCGAATGATCTCTCAGTGAGAGTCGGGACGCTCCTGACAGCTCTTCCCTTCGTCTGACAGCAGGGGTCAGTCTCACTGGAGTGTGAAGAGATGTCAAAGCAGACCTCGCCTCTGACCCCCTCTGGGTCCACTCACACTGTAATGACGCTTCTGCACTGTGATCTGAGAGCACAAACTGAGAGTCCATTCCTGCCAATGCATTTTCAGTTTAAAAATATATTTCAATGAGCTTCACTGCTTACAACAGCAGGGCTTGAATTTCGGTGCGGGATTGCACATAATTCTGCTCATTCTCGCAGTTTCAGTGCTTGTAACACGAGAAATTCACGCAAATATTTCATTGTGAAAGACGCTCAGGACAGATGAAGGAATGCATCATTTGCACGTGCTTTTTAGTCTGTGACTCCAGAGAACTCCTTTCTGTGAGCTCACACCCAAAGCACGCACACAGAGCCGCATCTGAAACAGCGTGCTACTACAGAATTAAGTTATGTTGAGCCTTATTGCGCATAAACGGACAAAATTCAAAAATACAAAATTGTTAAAATGATGAGTATTCATGTAAGCACAGTCAATTTATACTAAACAAGGTCAGTATATAGGCTATTAAGTGAATGTAAACAGTTCTATAAAAAATAATGTGTAACAGTATATTAGATCCATGCATGAGGTTTTAAAGAGACAGCAACCTAAATAAACCAGCTGTCTGCCAATAATGTTTATTTATACATTGACGACTAACCAGTGTTATTTTAAAGTTGAATAGATTATTCAGTTTCTGTGGTGTTTCTGTACCTGAATATTACTGTTATACTTACCTGAAAAACGTAAAGCACAGTTTATTTCAGTTATAGCTTGTTATTGTATGTATTTGTGGCATTGCTTGTCATTTATTTGTGCTTATTTTATTACTGACTGTTTACTTGTCTTTTGTAGTTAAAATAAATTCAGTTTAAAATCAAAGTTCTTTTTAAATATCTTCCTCATAATATAAATATGAATCAACAACATTATAAATTGTAAAACACAAATACCCCCCCCCCCCCATAAGAGTCATCTAAAGGGGGAATTCCCACTCATTTTCCAAAATGAAATTCAGGCCCTGAACATATATTTAGCATATATTTAAAATACAGGTTCTGTATTATCTAAAAAAAAAATTTTTTTTGGTAACTTATTTCAAAAAGTGAAACATTCATGTATTCTAGATTCATTACATGTAAAGTAAAACATTTCAAAAGTTTTTTTTGTTTTAATTTCGAAGATTAGAGCTTACAGCTCATGAAAGTCAAAAATCCAGTATCTCAAAATTTTAAACTATTTCCTAAGATCAATAAAAAAAGGATGTGCAAAACAGAAAAGTTCAAGTTCTTTAAAGCATATTCATTTATGCACTCAATACTTGGTCGGGGCTCCTTTAGCACAAACTCCAGCATCAGTGAGGTGTGGCATGGAAGCAATCCGCCTGTGGCACTGCTGAGGCACTATTGAGCCTTCAGCTCGTCTGTATTGTTGGATCGACTGTTTCTCATCTTTCTCTTGAAAATATCCCATCGATTCCATGGGGTTCAGGTCAGGCATGTTGGCTGGCCAATCAAGCACAGTAATATCATGGTCAGCAAACCCCTTGAAAGTGGTTTTGGCACTGTGGGCAGGTGCTAAAGTCCTGCTGGAAAAGGAAATCAGCATCTCCATGAAGCTTGTCAGCAGATGGAAGCATAAAGTGCTCCAAAATCTCCTGGTACACGGCTGCATTGACTTTGGACTTAATAAAACACAATGGACCAACACCAACAGACGTGATGCACCCCAAATCATCACTGACTTCGGAAACTTCACACTGGACTTCAAGCAGCTTGGATTCTGTGCCTCTCCAGTCTTCCTCCAGACTCCAGACCTTGATTTCCAAATGAAATGCAAAATGTACTTTTATCTGAAAAGAGGACTTTGGAGCACTGAGAAACAGTCCAGTTCTTTTTCTCCTTAGCACCAGGTAAGATGCTTCTCTCGTTGTTTCTGTTTCAGAAGTTTCTTGGCAGCCCTTTTCCTGAAGACGTCTGAGCGTGGTGACTCTTGATGCACTCCAGCTTCAGTCCACTCCTTGTGAAGCTCTCCCAAGTGTTTGAATCGGCTTTGCTTGACAGTATTCTCAAGCTTGCGGTCATCCCTGTTGCTTGTGCACCTTTTCCTACCCAATTTCTTCCTTCCAGTCAACTTTGTATTTAATATGCTTTGATACAGCACTCTGTGAACAGCCAGCCCTTTCAGTAATGACCTTCTGTGACTTACCCTCTTTGTGGAGGGTGTCAATGATCGTCTTCTGGACCATTGCCAAGTCAGCCGTCTTCCCCGTTATTGTGGTTTCAAAGAACAAGAGATACCCGGAATTTGTACTGTAGGGATGGTCATTTAATGACTCAAATGTAAATATTCTAATATTTTGAGATACTGGATTTTTGATTTTCATGAGCTGTAAGCTCTAATCATCAAAATTAAAGCAAAAAAAAACTTTTGAAATGTTTTACTTTACATGTAATGAATCTAGAATATATGAAAGTTTCACTTTTTGAAATAAGTTACAAAAAAATAAAACTTTTTCACGATATAAATTTTTTTTTAGATACACCTGTATATTTTGGCCAGAAATTTTTTTTTTTGCTATATACAGTACAGTTGGTCTGTTCCTGTCTAAGCGGATGGTTCTTGGTCAGAATGAGCTGCAGTGCTTATAGTCTAAAGTCTGACTGCTGTCATTGAACAACTGTTATACTGACGACCATGTGTTTCTCTCTGGAGTGAATGAATGTGTTTAACATGACAGTTTGTGGGATTCTTCCAGAGAGGTTCATGCTCTGATTTCCACTCTCTGTTTCTCTGTGTCACTGCAGTTTCGGGACGCAGCGTGGAGGAAGACGAGGCTGTGAATGCATCACTTTAGAGCCGTCTGAGATGATTGTGGTGAGTGGCACGTTAAACGCATCTCCTCTTGCACCAGCCGTCTGCTCCGGCCTCAGACTGACTAAAACAGACGTCCAATCACAACATGCTTTCCTAATACACATGCCTGATCTGGTGCTTCATCAGTACATGGTGACAACTTCTTCTAAAGTTTTAGTTTAATTGTAAATAACATGCCGTTAAGTGTCTGAAAACAGTACATTCAGTATATTCTTAGAAAATATCATTTCTGTAACAAGTGCTTTTAAAAGGTATGCTGAAGTTAGGGCTGGGCGGTATGGCAAAAAAAATCAAATCTCGATTTTTTTCAGAACGTTTGACCGATTCACGATTTTTAAGATTTTTAACTAGTCAACTCGAAAATGTAATTACAACATGCATCAAGTAACTTTTTCTTTATTAAGCCTCTATAGCTGAAGAAAATTCTATTCCAAGTGCACCGCACATGAAGTTGTCAACATGTTGTAAATGTTAAACAAATCACTTGTTTAATATCTTTGCAGAAAAGATGCATGAACTACAAATGCATCTTGTACAAACTTGTCTTATACATATTATATGTTTAAAAATAATACAGTGAAAATGCTATAAAAAATTAAGTCAAGGTAATTCAAATTCAAAATGACTAAAGGTATAACACCAGTAGACTATTATTAACTATAAATGTTCTGTTAAAACAACAGCAGCTTTCAGCCTGTCACCATGATGCAAACATGAAATATCAGACATACAGTAGTAGTTCTTTACAGGTTTTCATTAGATTGTGCTGCTTTCCATTGTATTTCTATGTAAACATAGACGTGTTTGACTGTTGCGCTCACATCTCTTGCAGTGTCTCATGCATGAAACAGCATTCTAAAAGTTAACAGAAGTTCACTCCCATCTTCTTTTGTTTGGAATATTTTTCCTATTCCACTGCCCACGTTGCATCTTTGTCAACACAAAAGCGATATGAGTGGTTAATCACGTGTGCTGACATGTGGTTGGATCATTATTTTCTCTTTACTGTTATCACTGCCATATTGTTAAAGTGTCCAATTCTGACGTTTGGTAATATTTCTATTTCTAAAATTGTGACCCTGAACCACAAAAGCAGTCATAAGGGTCAATTTTTCGAAATTGAGATTTATACATCCTCTGAAAGCGGAATAAATTATCTTTCCATTGGTGTATGGTTTGTTAGGATAGGACAATATTTGGCCGAGATACAACTATTTGAAAATCTGGAATCTGAGGGTGCAAAAAAATCTAAATATTGAGAAAATAGCCTTTAAAGTCGTCCAAATGAAGTTCTTAGCAATGCATATTACTAATCAAAAATTAAGTTTTAATATATTTACAGTAGGAAATTTACAAAATATTTTCATGGAACATGATCTTTACTTAATATCCTAATGATTTTTGGCATAAAAGAAAAATCAATAATTTTGACCCATACAATTTATTTTTGGCTATTGCTACAAATATACCCCAGCGACTGGTTTTGTGCTCCAGGGTCACAATTGTGATTCCTCGATTTCTAAAAAATAAAATTGTGGCAAAACATTAAACTCGAATTAATCGATAAAATCGAAAAAATCCCCCAGCCCTAGCTGAAGTGTACAGCTTTTGGATAGGACAATATTTGGCCGAGATACAACTATTTGAAAATCTGGAATCTGAGGGTGCAAAAAAATCTAAATATTGAGAAAATAGCCTTTAAAGTCGTCCAAATGAAGTTCTTAGCAATGCATATTACTAATCAAAAATTAAGTTTTAATATATTTACAGTAGGAAATTTACAAAATATTTTAATGGAACATGATCTTTACTTAATATCCTAATGATTTTTTGGCATAAAAGAAAAATCAATAATTTTGACCCATACAATTTATTTTTGGCTATTGCTACAAATATACCCCAGCAACTGGTTTTGTGCTCCAGGGTCACAATTGTGATTCCTCGATTTCTAAAAAAATAAAATTGTGGCAAAACATTAAACTCGAATTAATCGATAAAATCGAAAAAATCCCCCAGCCCTAGCTGAAGTGTACAGCTTTTTCACAAGGGCCTCCAGGAGCAGTTTGACAAAATCAGTATAAGCTATATGGTATAAGGTGACAAAATCAGTCACAGAGAAGAGAGTTTGTGTGGGTAATAATATCGTCTCTTATCTGTCGTTCTCCAGCGTGCAGGAAATGAGCCATTATATGAGCTTTATCTTACATGAGCTGATGATCATGAACTCTGAAAATGAAAGCTCAGGGTTCATCTTCTCTCTCATTGGCTGTCCTGAAGTGAAGCATCTGTTGACGCTGCTCAGAATGTAGATGAAGGTACATGCTTATCCGAGATTAGTGTATATCCCATAAGACCTGATGAGAAACATGTGGTCCTTTTGAATTTGTACACCGCACGTGCAGTGCTTAAAAAAAACCCTGTATTCGTTCTGTACACATATGCGCTGAACTGAATGATCTATACCAACATTTTCTGTTAGAATATGTCTAACATTACACCTAGTGCTGGGCGGTATACCGGTTCATACCGAATACCGGTCTTTATTTTTGTTATGATATGAGTTTTTAAAATACCGCAATATGTCGCTTAAACAACGTTGAAGCACCGCAGCCGACTCCTCAATAAATGAGTACAAAACAGCGTTTCCTAGCACCTGTCGCTTACTGATTGTTTGGAATTATAAATATGAGCGTAGTGTCACGGCCGGTAAGGGGCACCGTGGAAAAATAGGTTCTGGGTCCAAATGCAGGTGAAAACTTATTTTATTCCCAACAGAAAGGCCGACAAGGCAAAACAAAAACAGGGCTAAGGACGACGAACACCATTACATACACATAATACAGCCAGGCCGAGGGGCGAGTGAGAGGAGAAGATATAGTCAGTGACCATTCGTATCGCATTGTCACATGCCTTGTAAAAATTCATAAAAATTTGAGCAACTGACGACTGTATCAGCGCAGATTTTCCTCGAGCTTTGGGCTTTGAACCCTGGTTAACAAGCAGATCTGCTGCGAGCTCATGCAGCGCTGTCAGAATACATGCAATGCGTGCGTGTATTAGAAAACATAACGTTCTGCAGTTTATTTACTAATTGTTTAAGGCCATTTCACGATTTCAATCATCATACAGTAACCAGCAACAATCACCCCTTCCTCTTCTCATTGAAGACATGTGATGCAGTCCTAAACATTCTCTCGCTGTCGGTGCTTGTAATGATTTTTGCGTCTTTCTCCGACAATTTAAATGCTTCCACACTGCTGACGTGTGCTACATTATAAAGAGTGCGCGCCTCTCACTCTGCGCTGGTTGCTATTTGATCGCGTCATATCATTGTTTGGTACAATTTATTTGGTCTTTTCGCTTATTCGGTTTGGTTGCCGAACATTCGGTGCATCCCTAAATATAAATTCACGTCTCTCGCTCTTTAATGCCCTTTGAATGTAACGTGTACATCCCCTTGGAACTGGAATCATGGTGGAATTTCATGTGAAGTTCATGTCGCAGGGCACTTACGGTCGAATAAGCCAACGCTTGAATGCTGCTGCCTGAACAAGAGACCTCCTTACTGAAGTGAAGGTGTTGATTGGTGTCACTCCACTACGCGCCGGCGAATCTCCACCAAATTCGGGGGATCCCTTCAGCTCGAGGAGACCTCTCGAACACCACCCTCCGCGCATCGGTAGCCCCCCCGGGATCGCTTGATCGGTCGGCGCCAGACCACGAATTTAACCACCCGTAACTTCCGAACCCTGGGGGCTATCGACGCAGCAGTGGTCTCATTCGAAGGTGGACCTCAAGACACTCGGTTCGCATTCGAGAGGATTCCTCAAGCTGAAGGGTGCGAATTTGGTGCGGATTCGCCGCGCCGTTATGGAGATATGGCCGTTCAAAGTTTCAATGGTTTTCCATAGACTTAAGCTTCAAAGCATTTCATCCAGGTCACCAGTAGCAAACAATGGAGCGCGCTCTGTTGGACAAACGAAGTAATTACACCATTTCAAGCATTTTATCTGCGTTATATGTTCTGTAAAAAAAAAAATCATGTCGGCGGCAAATTCGCAGATACCGGTATATCGGCGACAGGCTAATATCGGCCGATAATATCGGCAAAACGATATATTGGTCGGGCTCTAGTTTGTTACTCAGATGCAGGCAGTGCGCTGCATGAGACAAAAAAGTTATATAGCCAAAACAACCGCATAGCCGCTCTTTAGTGTAGCGTTTAATGTTGAGTTTATCAGACGATGGCGTGATTATAAATGAGAGTGACTCCTGGTTAACATGTATTAAAAGGGGTCGTGTTTAGTCACTATTTAGTGTGGTATTTTTCTAAGTCAATATACTGCAGTATTTCCTCTCTCAATCAGTAGAAAATATGGTTAACACCCGGTCATGCATGAAAAAAAATACCGTCATGTACTGTGAAACCGGTATAATTTTCGAAAATACCATGATATTAATTTTTGGTCATACCGCCCAGCACTAATTACACCCCTATTTGTTTTAGGCGACTCATTTGATTGGACGATGTGTTTTAAGCTGTGTGTCGCATTAATGGCGTGATGGATGACCGTTCTGCTCCGACATGACAAACTGTCTCTGTCTTTTCACTCCATGCACCTCCATGTTTGCCTCCTTCATAGGCAGCATCTGTTTAAGGGAGCATTCACACTCATAAGTGACTGATCTGACAGATTATACTCCTAACATGAAGCACACAAGACTACTGGCACAATAATTTAACATGTATTAATGCCCTCAGCGCACACGTATTGACTGGATTTGTCAATTTTTATTAATACGTTTCAGTAGAAACATCAGCATTCTTTCAACTCATCCACCATCTAGCATGGATTTTCTTGCGATGCATACTGGGATTGCATTTTCCATTTATTAATTTAAAAGATGCTTTTATCCCAAGTGACTTACAAATGAGGAACAGCGCGACTGGATTTCTCCACAAAGCATGCATGTGATGGTGTAGAGCAGGGGTGTCAAAC